ACGCCGCATAGAGTTTCTTTTCGCACTCTGGCTGCCGCTGCTGGTTCTGCTCAAGCAAAGAGAATGGCACGCGGTCATTTTGGTGTATTTTTCATAATCCGTAGCCTGTGGGGAGGGAATGTCACCTAATGTTGCGTCACTAGCATCGGATGGCAGGAAGGGATTAGGCTCAGATTCGGGCAGCATAAGCTGCAGGAGTTGTAAGGCGGCGGCTGGGCTTCTTGCTGACGTATCGTCGTCTTCTGCCCCATCCACAGATTGCATCTTCTCGGATTAGTAAGTTAGGAGAGCAACGATCCGAGCACATTTAGGAGTAGCTTTCTGGTAGTGCGTCGCAAGAATTTTGCACCATCCTTGCGGGTGCGTAAAAGCAAAGGGTATGCCAAGAGGGCCTCAATTTTTTCGAGTCTGGCTTGATTCCTGCATGCAAAACGCCTAATCCTAGGAACACACCTTTTCTCATCAAAACTCAACGGTTGCGTGACATCAGATAGCCCTGCTTCTCCCGCAACAGCTGCAGCGCACGAACAAAGTGCTGTACGCTCTCTTAGAGCGTTCCGATTAAAGATTTAGGGGCAGGCCATGAAGGCGCCAATGCAGCCGTTTTAACAGACCTATGAAATTGCTGACTGGCTTTGCAATGCAGTTAAAATACGACAGTATCTAATACAAACTCCATGCATGTGTAGAGCTTACGGGTGGGACTGTGAAACGCATTTTTGAGTATGGCTTTAGGGTAGATGGGGATTTATAATCAAGCTTGCGTAATGTCGATGCCCAGTAGGCTTTTAATTTGCATAGTTGTCAAGCGATTTACCAGTATGGGGCGTAGGGAACTTTTGCTTCGGTGACCTTGCGAAGGGGCTTGAGGGTGAGTCAAATGGGCTACCGCTTGTCCTCTTTCGGCACGAATACAGGGTGATGCTTTAAAGCGCTTGTAGATTCCTGCATCTCGTCATCTTCCACCAAAGCGCCCGCCTGCTGTTCAGCCTTCTCTTCATGCTGATTTTCGATGCCATGGAACATAGCGTGGGGCTGACCTGGAGACTAGGTCATCACGGTGCGCTGGACGACCAGTTGGTGGCCAGCCAACTCGCAGCACGACACAACTTAGCACATTCGCGAACTCATCCTTGAGCTTTACTCGTTTGTGCCGCTCCCCAAATGACAGTGCGATCGAATTCTTAAATATAGAAGCGTTGGCAAAGCCACAGAGAGAGGTTGCATGCTCATAAGCGTGTTCTGCTGCTAGGCTGCTGATTTGCCCGCAGGAAGACTTCCCTTTCCAGATGATAGCTACCCTCGCTTCCAAACTCCATTGGCGCTAACTCTTTGGCCAATTGAATGAAGCTGTATCAATGTACGATTGACCTTCTGGGTCTCCCATTGCAGTTCTATGCATTGTGGCCCCGCCTCACCGTGCCACAGCCTGCGTTGGGTACATCTCGTTTCCCTGATGCGCCTTCTTCGCTCTCCAAGAAGTCTGCATGAGGTGAACAAGCTTCCGTTGCTCACGTTGTATGGCTTTTTGCATGATCGTGTAGGTCCCGACTATATGACCCACTCTTCCACAACAGAAGCTGGTGCACTGTTGGACGCTGTGTGGGGCTGTATAGAAGCGCAGGTGCTTTTGTGACTTTCATTTCTTACTTACACAAGACTTCAGGCTAGAGCTGGCTGGCACAGCGCCGAAATCTACACGCTCTAAATGCTGCTGACCATTTTGTCTCAGCCAAAGACGCAGAGGTGACGCTCATTTGCCCCTGAAACCTCAAGCAGTTCATAACTTGTGAAAGCTTCACTGGTCGCTTATTTGAGTGCTGACTGGCTGGCCGTCCTGCGACCAGCTAGTGTGCTACGTTTTTGGGCACTTCTGAAATTTTACTTATAGAGCATTTATTTGTCTGCGTTGTGGCTTTTGAGAACCAAAGTTTCATAATTCTTGATATTGCAGTATATTGCTGGATCCCTGGCTTCAGGGCCCTCACATTTTTTGAAGATTGTTGTTGAGCTCATCTCGGCATGAACGATGAGTCAGGGCTTGTATGAAAGCTTCAACTTCAGTTATCCTTGTAGGCGGACGACCTGCCTCACATCAGTAGATTCACGATTGAAGCGCGTATCTACCTGTCAAACGTGACGCAGGCAGCGCTCGCTTCCCTTCATGTGGGGCCACAAAGCGAGGTACATTTTTAATCGACTGATAAATATACGTGCCCATCCTTCCGTCCTTCATCCTTTTCTCGTCGGCCTAATCTCATCAAGAGATTCATGAAGGCTTCATCGGCTAATCAATTAAGTTATTGGATTAGCTCTGAGCCTACTGCGCGCACATCGACCTGCAGGCTGGTCTTTGCCGCCCCAACAAGCGTAATGCCACCCTCGCCCTTTATTGCCGGAGTGTCTAAAAACTCAATTGCTGTAAGGGCCCTTCGAATTGTTGAATCACCAAATAACCTAATTGCATCCAGACAACTGTTCTAGGGAAAACTGACTCTCAGTGGATGAGCGAGATTCATCTACATCGAACCATGAGGTGCTACCAACTGCATTGCTCCATCAGAGGTCTCCGTACTGGGCATCCCTCTCCAGCGTCGGTGCACACTTGGTAGAACTTCAGTGAGTGTCGCTGGGAAGGACTCCCTCCTCTTTCTGCCCGAGCCCCTCAGGGCTCCGACATGCGGAGAAGGACGCCTAGGGTGCAAGTGGCTTCACTTGTGGGGCTCCGAGAAATTTCAGCTATTTGCACATACCACCTAGCGCACGAGCACCACACATCGCTTCTTGAATCTAGCCAATAGTACTCTGCAATGAACAATATATACGGATAGACAAGGTAATTGGCCTTTTCCTTTCAAAATTTTTACTTGATATAATCAATGCAGTAGGAAGGAGTTGAAGTGTAGCTTTACTTTCCGCAGAGGCACCACATCTCAGAAAGGCATAATCCAACGTTTGCTCACTTACTGAGAACAGCATAGTAGCATGTCAATGCGCAACCGCTTTGAAAAAGCCGCAGTACTCAGGCAGTGCCACTGAAAACGGTAAAAGCAACTGTTTGGCAGACAAAGATATGAAGTAAGGGACACGGCGAGGTCCAGCCCATTCGCTGCTATCCAGAAAAGGGAGGCTGGCAAAGAAAGCACAACAACTCAACGGCGGCCCGTATCTCAACATCGACTCGGCGATAAATTATTGTGAAGTACCCTTGCTCGGAGTGATTTTTGAAGGGCCGTTTGATATTCTACCGCTTTCCTGCAGGTTCAAAAACAATGTTCCCTTGGAGAAGACACACACAGCTATTCCTTGATCATAACGCACTGCTGGGTTCTTCAGGATCTATGTTTACAGATCACTCTCTGCGAGGCAGCCTTAATTCTCAAAGCACAGCTAATTGCATGTACTGGAAGCAACACTCACGTCAACCGGCTCCCGGTGGATTGTGCAAACTCCTGGCCTCACATTCAGATTTTGAATTTCTGCCTATATTGAACTACTAGGCTGTATCGCCTTGCCATCGGCAAGCTAGTAGTCACACGTGGCCGGAAGCTACGAGCAGGTATACGAATGGGCTCTGTATGCTAAGTAATTTTGTGGCCAGCTTGTCCGATTAGGAGAGTAGGCTTCTTTTTTTCGCATGCTACACACTTTTCATCTTGAGGAGAGGTCCTAAATTGTGGCCAAAACAGTTACGGCTTAGCCAGCACTATTACCAGTTGCAACTAGGGAAAGCTGCTCGACCTAGTCACTTACAATATATGCCCACAATATGCAGAGAGCCCAAATAAATTCATCCACGTAGCTCATTTTTGTGCATCCTGCGAAGACCGATGGGGCAATAAGGCACATTGGCCTACATAGAGGTAATGGATTGTTTGAGCTGGTTTTAGGTGTATGTCCCGAGACACACAGGTGAGCGCACATAGCTGAACCGCATGCCACTGGAGATGCTTCCTGCTTACCTACACCTTTGTTATAAAACGCCCCACATGCAGCGATACCATGATCAGCTGCTGTCTTCACGCTTATGGAGTGAGATGAAGTCGTCAATTTGGGCAGCTCCTTGCAAGAAATGACGTTAGGCAAATCATGCCATCCCCCTTAAACAGATTGCGAAGCAACCCCCCCCAAAACTCTCACCATTCCGCTGCCTGGTTGCAACCTAGTAAGAGCACATACAGTCCCTCAATACCTTATCAGAAGCATCCTTATTGCAGTAGGGGTGCGCTCAGAGATGGATGAGGGCTGTGCAGCCGCACTGCTGCTAATGGGTCCCCTTTATGTGAGTTTGCTGGTCTCAGGTCTGGTTACGGTTTTACCGGCCGACGCTATGTTAATCCATTCAATCTTACAGTGAAGCAAAGACCCAGACCCACCTCGCACTTTCCTCTTTATCCTTCACCCGAATTAGCTGCATTCGCTGAACAACTTCTGTAGCGTAGGCCTTAATTCTAGCGCATGCACCTTGAAGGCACAGAAAGGTCTAAGTTCAAACCCGGTTGCTGTTGAAGCCTCACATGTGCAGCTGGGCAGGTATATCTGGGGTGTCACGCGGGAAGTTACATATCCACCTGCGTCGAACACTTGGTAACCGCGTTGTTTTGTTGTCACCAGTTGCCCATTAGCTTTAAGCATCATTGCTAGGTAAATTGATGGTGTTTAGGATCGTGCATATGAACTGTAGTTTGCATTAGGCATTGTGACACTGTTGGCTATTCCCTGATTACCGTGCGAAACGGGAAGAACGTTGACCAAGCCGCCCATCACCAGCACTGCATCCCCCAACTTATTTATGTTTAACACCAAACGACGTGACTCGCCGCCCCGCACAACTAAGGGAAAGCTAGTCATGGTTGTAGACAAGTACAGATGACGTTTAGGCATGGTATGCACCATGACATTAGCCTTGGATAGTTCCTTGTCAGCATTATGACAATTGTGGAACTGTTGGTGGGCAATCTACTTTGTAAAGATGGGAATTTGGCAGGTTACTCGGTGCGTCAACTGCACCGGCGCCAGACCCCAGTGATGAACTCAAGAGCTACTCGTGCTTGGTAGCTCTCATCTATGTAAAGGTGTTCTGGATGTACCGACACCCTATGAGTTTGGACACCAGACCTGAGCCAACTTCGCAGCCATCGCCACAATGCCGATACAACGAGGGGCCAGAACGACTCCTGGAACAGGTTGTGGCCTCCCTTACCGACAACTGCGTAGGTGCAGTTGGAGTTATACTTAGGCACTGTTGCCGCTGCTCGGCAAACTCCCAGAGGTTCCACAATCGGATCATCCAGGGCGTGAAGACACAAAAGGGGTAAAGGAGCTAGTAGCATGTGGGGTAAGCACGTGGTCAAGGCGTAGTAGACCCGTGAGCAAGCCAGGGGAGACGCCGGAGTAAGGCATATGGAGAGGTGTGTAAGCATATCTATTTCTCTCAGGGTTGACGTCTAAACACAAAGGCCAGACACAGAAACAAAGAGCAAAACACGACTTAGTATGGCTGGTCGCAGTGAGGCTGATCGAAAACGTACCTCTACCAATCCCCCCCCCCAACACCATATTACGGCCCTGAAGGGCCTGCTAAAAGACTCTTCCCCCATACGAACAAAGCTTAAAAGTACCCACAAGAACAACTTTCTAGTTTTTGATCTGTAGGCGACTAGGAGGTGCCTGGACAGAGCTTTCGCAGTGCATACGAACAGTGCTCATAGTGTGTACTGCGCTGCCTTGCTATCGGTGACGCCATTAGCAGCTGGCGTCGTGAGTGAATTGCTGTGCTATGGGGTCAGCGGAATTAGTGGCCTACCATTTGGGACAATGCCACAAGGCCAGGGTCCAGCCCTTTGTTCATGTAGCTAATGCTGGGTTCCAGCCACTGCTTGGACTTGTACATCTTCAGCATCGTGTTCTTACACAACCTTCCGGTGATACCAGAGGCCCTGTCCAAAGACCCTATGCAGCTGCAAAGCACAGGTAAGCAGCAAGACACAGTGAAAAGCCGGTCTCTTGCTGCAAAGGAGCACCCGTGGAGGCACATTTACAAACACAGCAACTCGTGCTACTGAGGCAAGGCACAGGGATCAAATGATTTGCATACGACCCATGGAAACAGAGGGGACAGAAGAAACAGAGAAGCAAAGGGCACACCAAGAGACAGGCTATACAAATACAGAGGATAAACGAGAGACCCCACCTGTCTAGACACATTGCATTGGATATAGTAACTGCGCCCTTGAGGAATCGCAGCCACTCAAGCGAAGGGAGATATTCGCTAGCCACGGCAGCAGCTAGATCTCGACAGAAGGGCGACAGGTCGGGCTCGCTCTTGTTGCTGCAGTTACTACTGTCGCTAGTGCTGGTGCAAGGTGTACCCGCAGCTGCCTGCTGGTACTCCTTTGTGTCTTCCGTTTGCCGCTGCTGCTGCTGCATCTGCTGTAGCCGCTGAATGGCCTGCTGCAAACCCAGAGACCCCAAGAGACGCATAACAGCACACGAGCCCATAGAGTAGCCCAGTAAGAAGACGGGAGGTATGAAACCTGAAGGGATTGACTTGAGAAATCCATCCTCAGCAGCTTCCATTATCATCTTGCGGAAGCCAACGTCCACCTCATTCATCGTTAATCTCGAGTCCCATTGTGAAAATTTCTGCTCCCGCTTTTCTTGCTCCTCAATCTGAGACCGAGAGCAACGAGAATTATCGTTGCGTTCATCCTTGTCGATGCCTTCTTTCCTCTCGCTCTGCAGGTCTTGGTGGCGCTCCTGATGAAGTATCTTCTCAAACCCGTTTACATGTATGTAGAGAATAAAGGCCAAGGCCGCTTGCACATCAGCACTGGTAGTAAGATCTGTTGGTAGACTGGCGATGGGGGCTTCTATGCCCCTAAGGCAGGAGAGAAAGAAGACACAAAACCCCTTCGCTGCAGCAAGCAGCACCACATGCTGCACTTGCAGGTCATACGCCTTGGCCCCAATACCTGTAGAAAAATATCATGCAGCTACAGCAACCGCGTTCAACTCAACACTGTACACTCCAAAAGAGTTCCTTGCAGCCAATACAGGGGTGCGCATTAAATGATCCTTCACCTTTGCCGGGGGCGGGGGTGGGGAGGGGTAGCAGCTTACCGCCGACAATGAAAAGAATCCCCCTGCATCCACACGTGCCGTGAGGTTTTCCGTGTGGAAATCGGCTATCTGTACAGCCCACTGCTTCGGCAGCAGCGGCTGGATCTGCCGACCCCCAGCTGGTGCTACACGCCTTCGGATCTGTCCTGTGTCTGTAGTAGTGCAGCAACACTACGTCTCCGTCTACAGATGTTACCCAGTACTGCCTGTCAAACTGTACGAGCTTCACGAACCGCGTCTCTTCTTGCACGGCCAACAAAAGTCCCTGCACCAGCCGGTGCTGCAGCAACACACTATCCGGAATAAAGCCTTGAGAGAGTGATGGGCAAGCCAGGAGCAGCTGCTGCCGGCTGGGAGCTGGAGGCTTCAGCCAAGAAGCAGCGACGCGGCACGCCTTACATTTACTCTCTTCGCCTTGTGAAACATCGCCAGCACCACTGGATACCCTTGGCGGCCCCACTGCCGCTGCAGTCGCCGCAGCTGGAAGGTAATGTGTACCCCAAAAATGGCTTCCGTCAGCTTCTCCGGCCGGCTCTGAGGAGTCGTGCTGCTGGAAGGAAGCAAACAGCTCCGCCGAGCCACATGACTGCCCAGAAAGGTGAGAAGAAAGTAGAGCCTTTTCGCCTTCCCACTTTGAAAAGCGCTCAACTGCGCTATGCGGGTGTAAAAGCACCGACAGGCGATTCGAGGACGACTCCGGATCTTTAGAATTGGTAGGAGTTTTGCCTTCACAACTCAGAGCCCCCAAGACACCTAGTTTGTGCTGAGCATGCCACGGGCGTACAAGGCCTGATAGGCGCATCAGGTAACCCCAGCTTCTCCTGGTACGGTTGCTGCAGGCGTTGCAGGTGCTACGCAAGCTGCCTGGGTCATCCCTAAACAACAAGGCAAGGTTGGGAGGCTGAGGAGAGAGGGCGCCCATCCCAATAATTGCAGGTCGGAAGGTGGGGCGCAGTGCACGCGGAAGAGGGAGGAGCAGCAGCAGGCAGATGCACAGGGTACAAAGGACGAGAAGCAAAGAAGCCCCAAGCACATTAGCAACCATGCGAAAGGGGGAACAGTCGGTCGAAAACCAAGTACTGCCCAAGAGCCAGGCTAAGCATGTGGCAGGCTCACCCCACAACCCATCTAGGTGGGGGTTCGTCATGTTGACCACGTTTGTCGCCCCCCAAAGTGAATCCCTGGTGTCCCGCACAAAGCCTGGGGGCTTCAGTGGCTGTGTAGCCATGGCATGACAAAAAGCCCCGTTTTCTTGGTGGGGAACCCTTCGTGTTGAAGTTGTCAATGCGCCCACCAAAGCACACCAAAATGCGCTTGTGGTTGGCTAAAAGGAGAGGTTGTAAGCATTAGCCATTATCGGCTAGTGGTAGTTGCAGGGAGAATCAGGAAGCAGTGGGCTAGGCTCATGAAACAAGATGATTATTCAAACAAAGGCAACCTTCTTTGTATGGCATTAGATGGCTTCCTCTGAACGTACGCCAGCTACACGTTGCCCGCACGGAGGAGACTTCTGAGAGCCCCACTGCCAGTTCATATTCAGACCAAAAGAAAATCACTCCCAAATCATATTGCAAATCGTTTAATGGAAATCGGCTCCGGATTCTGTGGAAATGGGAAAGGGGTTGCCTGCAAACTGGTGAAGGTGGGGGCCCCCATTGGCGTCTACTCCACGAAGACAGCAGAGCACGAAGTTCTATTTCCGTACACCAAAACCAGCTCTAATTCCACAAACTAAGTCAAAAGCCAGATTTGTCCCAACTTCTTGACAACGAACCGAGTCAGCAGTAAGTATGGAGACCTGTTGTGGGTCATGCTTTTCCCTTATTCCCCTGAAACAGGTTACAGAGGAACATATCAGTCAAGCAAGTGTTTCATGCTAGAGGCTACAGATTCAGATTTTAAGTTGAGGGTTAATCACATCAGCAAGGACCCTCGGATCGCTATTGGGAAAATGGTCAAACGGGCATATTCTTTTGCCGCTCTGCACGGTCTGGCGGGCCACTTTGCTACGTTGCTAGGATCCGGCAATTGCCTTTAAATATTTTCTAATAGTGACGACAACATGATTTGCCTGCCTACAGATCTCATCCACAGTAAGGCCATCCTAATCACTGGTTACAAAGGCAGTTGGTGTAGGTGTAGTGCTCTTCCTGAGGACTCCGCATGTAACTGGCCGAGCTACATTAGGCACTTTCTACTGCATTTGTGACATGTAGCTGGAATTTAGAAGAAAAATGACTACGTCGTTTCCTTTTGGTCTGTCTTATGATTGCAGAGAAGCGACAGACTTTTACTAGTAGCCAGGTCTAGCATAATACGCCACTATAGCATTCTATATAAGGTTTCCTTGAAAAGAAATTTCACTTTACTCTAGATGCAAGCTTAACCGCAGATTATTAAGCGATTCCCATAATAGCTGTTTCCGTCCTGTGCCGGAGTCCCTTAGGCTGACTAAACAGGCAATTGGACAGCGAAGGTAGGCGTAGATTCACCCTCTGAGCACTCCAAGCATTCACAGCTAGCTGCACATGGCGTCTGGCGCATTCACACACCACGTTACGCATTCGTGAGTCTCTGCAACAGGCAAATCACACGAGCAGACAAGCCAATCGCTCAACTGTTTTGTATTTCTTAGCAAAAAATAGCTAGCGCAGTAGAAAGTGAGGCATAGCCCCGACAATTCTCATCGAGATAAGTAACTACGGGCGTTCACAAGCCAATGCTCCCTCTCCCAACAGCAGGAGGTCACGCCTTAGGTGCTGAAGGTGCTCTTGAAAGCTCCGGCCGAAAAAACTGACGTCATCTGAATAGACAACCTACACCGAATCCTTCGCACGGTCAATAAAATCCCAGTAAAGTTGCTGCTGCAGCTCAGCTGGACTACTTTAAATTCCACGCGGCACACATGTATACTTGATTTAGCGAGGGCGGGTGCCAAAAGCCTTTGTGCTTCCCATCAGGGCGGATGGAATTTTATCAGAAAGTGTCAGTGAAGTCAAATGTCTATTCGACCGTTAATCCGTGTAATTTATCAAGCATGCTGCCAATATGCGGCATCGGAAAGTTCTGCCCTACACTAATCTTGCTCAGGAGGTTGATACTCAACACACTTGCTACACATTCTGTCCTGTCACGGCACAAATACCAGTCCATGCCCCAAAGCGCTAGTTCATACCTACATGTAGCCTCTTACCAACAAATCACCCACCCGCCGCTCAGTCTTTTCTTCATGCTGTGGCACCTTCCGATACCATGTAGCATGGGGCAGATTTACGGGAACTGCTCAATACTGTGCGTAGGAGGACCAGTAGGTGGCCGATCTTCTACCAGTTCGTCATTATTTGGCACAACTGCGAACCCATCCTTGCCGACTACTGGTCCTCCTACGCACAGTATTGAGCAGTTCCCCTAAGTCCGCCCCATGCTACATGGTATCGGAAGGTGTCACAGCATGAAGAAAAGACTGAGCGGCGGGCGGGTAATTTGTTGGGAAGAGGCTACATGTAGGTATGAACTGGCGCTTTGGGGCATAGACTGGTATTTGTGCCGTGACAGGACAGAATGTGTAGCAAGTGTGTTGAGTATCAACCTCCTGAGCAAGATTAGTGTAGGGCAGAACTTTCCGATGCCGCATATTGGCAGCATGCTTGATAAATTACACGGATTAACGGTCGAATAGACATTTGATTTCATAGAACGTCTTTTGGTAAATTGGAATTGTAAATGTATTAGCTCGACTGCATCAGGAATTTGACTGAGATTTGTGTTGCCCTGCCAAAAAGGGTTGGGTGGGTGTTTATTCGGATGAAATCCTAATTTTGTGCCGAAAAGTTCAAGGATGCCTGCAGCACCAACGGCGCACGCTTCAGCGGTTGCGGGAAAAAATGTACTATGTAAAAGCAAGCACGCGTTTTACAAGAACAATGATGTACCTGGGATTCTGTGTTTCGGTTGCAGTAATTGGGCCAAAACCGGCAAGGTATGAAGCAAGGATGATGTAGCCTTTTATTTTACGCACCCGCAACGACGTTACGAAAGTCTATGGGCTTGCAGCCTAATAAGATTTCTCTAGTCGTGTGGTCTCATCACTGCTCCCTTGACTTGGTGCGAAAGAAGAAACAACTGTTACCTGGACTAGACAGGCTGATGCCACAGCAGGGACGCTCTGTCGCAGCCTTACAATTTCGTTGGCCCTCGTGATGCCCAATGATAAAGTAAATACACGGAATTCTCGCATTTTATTCTTGTCGTTTTACCTAATCGAACAGCGGTGTACAGTGCAAGCAAGGAAGCTCTACGCGGTGTGGTATGGCGAGAAAAAATGCTGTCCACACTTGCATAAGCGTCAACTTACTTTTAAGACCGATCATCAGTATCTGATGTACCTTGCGAAGAGAGATAAATATTTTGCTAATCATAGGGCTGTTTTGCTAGCTTGGGTGCCTCCTCCCGTACGATTTGGCAGTAAAAGCCTACTAAGAATTTCACCGACCTGGTCACCAACACTGTCGCTCGACGCCAAAGCAATTCACTTTTCTGGAGCGCAGCCACTCCTACTTGCGTTGATTTACGGTTTCTATCAGGTTTACTTGACCTTAATGCTTCTTACACGCACGCGTTCGCCACTACTGCCAAAATCCAGGATGGCAAATATGTGGAGCAACTGCTAGGTCGATGCTGTTTATTGTCACTTACAACATAGCCAAGATTCCTTGCTTGTAGATCCCACTGTGATTCGCAGTGAAAATTTTTTCTTTCGGTTGATGAGTGGATACACGCGACAGCGAAATGCTCTGATATTCATTCTGGTGGCCTGGGTTGCGTCGCGAGCTAGAGGAGGATGCATTGTGACGCCCATGTTCTCAGCAGCTGAGGCGGTACAGTCGTCCCAGACCAGACGTTTTGCAAAAGCTCTCCTTGACGAAATTTGGGCTGCCCTGGTTTGGACTCTATTACTGGACTGCTGCCGGTCAAGGGTCAGGATTGTGCTAAAGTTGTTATCTGCAGCCTCAGCAGATATATCCCTTGCATCCCTTGCTCCAGCCCTGTCACACCTCAGGAAGTCGTTCACTCACTCTTAACTCATGTCTAAGAGCTTCAAAGATTTACTAGGAGTATCACTAAAGATACGCATCCGAAGTTCACCAGTGCTGGCGTGTCTTTGTGGCGTCCCTACACACTTTGAGCTTAGAATGGTCACTGCTAAGCATGTTGAGGCAGATGGACAGGCACAGAGCGCCCATCACATTCTTTCGCAGTATTGAGACTCTGCTTATACAAATGCAATCGGTTGGCTCGAGGTTCTTCTTGGTGGTGAGTGGGTTTACGGTACGGCAGTATACTTTTCTACTCCTCGCTCTCTTATATCTTCAGTATACACCGAGGAGCCCCACTTTAGTCCAAGCGTGGACTTGGTGTTACGGAATAGGCAGCCACCCCTAGCAGCAGAGCGGCCCAGAGCATAACTGAATAGTGCTCATAAATTAATGTGAAAAGCTCCAGAGAGACGATCATAAGATGATGACAAGTGGCGGCTGGCTATGCTTTAAGAGCCTAGAAATTTTGTCCTAATAAATTAACAGATTTGTTAGGTGCACCAGAATGGATCCAGACAAAAGAAATATGCGACTCCTTGGATGTCAAAAGTATCGCTATTGGCTTCTAAACAACTCTCGACGCTTCTCCGGGTATCTACGGACTTCTCCACTCAGGCTGGTAATCTGTATGGAGGCGCACGATTCATGGAGAGGCACGGAAGAACTAAAGTATAGGACTATTGGGTGCTGCGGAGACACTCGACGGAAAATATTAGCACAATTGTGTGGGAAGTGCCAACCTCAGTGGATGAAGAAGGACGAGTTGCAGGTGCGTGCAGGAGGCTTTGTGGCTCTGCTTGGCTCACAAAGCTAATTGCCATGGACGGGTATCCTCATGATTGTCATTCCCCAGCGCATGCTCTGTCTAAAATAGCTACCTTCATGCCTTAAAATCTTTCCGAACGGTATTGCTTAGGTGTTTTCCACACTCAAATTTATGCGGAGGCACTCTTAGGGATGTTGGTCCTACAATCTTTATGCCTCTTTTGGGGGTTGGAGGTCAACTATGCTGCATCCATCGGCAACACTTGCATGCAATCACTGTTCTGTGAGGCGCAAAAGCTCTGCTAAGACGGTGTGCATTTCGACTTCTTTGACGTAATATACTTGTCTTCTGGTTCCTTGTAGCAGGCGGCGCACGGTTCTCAGTGCCCTGACGAGACCTAGACTACGGCACCGCTGGGGTCGTAGTGGTTTGGTCCAACGGTCGTTGTTGGTTTGTATGTGCCTCTTCTCACCAGTTTCCCTTTAAGGATTATTGCGCACTTTGGCTTTATCATATCCCCTAAAGTCCTGTTCTTGCCTACCTCCTGCATGGCGTTAGTTTGGATACTGCTCCGCTTCTTCACTTGCAGTTGGCCACAACGTACCCGTACAGAGCGCGAGGGGCGGTATTTAAAATGGAAGCGGAATGTATAGCCAGCAATGCTATATTTGACCATTTTCTACTATTTTTTTACTGAACCGGTCCTAAATGAGTAAAAAGGAACGAACTGACTAATTGGTCTTTTTGTTAGAATATCTCACTGCACACTACTGTTCGCTTCGAATTGAATAATTGGCTCGTCTATTAGTCTATCCTTTTTTTGCACAGTACTGCTAATTTGGCACGCAATGATACAATGTTGCGTGAGTGAGCTATATTCTATATGCAGCTAGTTATGAGTGCTCCTAGTTCTTAGAAGGTGCAGTACCGTGCACCCCGTGTGTCTCTTCCGCTTACGTCTGAAGCCGTGAGGGGTAGAATGAGGAAAAGGAATTCCTTTGTTTAGCAATTGATAACTTCCTACTCATTTTTTGTCTTAAGCTTAGGGCTACATCTCTCCCTGTGGAGCGATGCAACGTTAGAGGATCTGTAAAGACAGGTAGTTAGTATCGCAAAGCTGCTACGATGCCTGAACGTATCTTGCAGTCAATTTTGTGCTAAAACTTATCTATTCGTGCATAATTTGGGGGAAGCGGCCAGAGGTATGCTGGGAGAATGTGTGCTTTGTACCTTTGTTTTAAGTTACTCTGTGGAATTGAGTCTTGGGAAGGCCCAGAATGCATTGAGGCTGCAGCCATTGGTGCAGGTACTGTCCGTTCCTCCTTGTGCCGAAGACCCAGTGCGTTAAATTTAAGAAGAGAACATTTTTGAATAACAACATCAGAACATGTCCTGCAGCTCTTTCTAGTACCTTCAGTGGGGTTTTTATGTTCTGCCTGACAACAGTACAACAAGTCGCATGCGTACTATGCCCATTGCAAAGACTATGAAACAAGACTGTGACATTTCTTTGGAGGCAGCCATTGTGCACTCTTCATAAAAACGCGAAAGAACCTCCACTACTCAACTTGATAAGCAGGATTGCACCCTTTGCTGCCATCGGGCCATTTCGTATGGGCGAGCAGCAACAGTATAACGGAGTAGCGACTACTTCAAAAAGACATCCGGACTCCTTCCTAGAGCCAAGAGTACATCAACTGATAAGCTACACAGGCAACAAGCTGCTCAAAAGGGCGTTCCATTTAGAGTCCACTAGAGTTCTACAGACACGATCCAGCAAAACTTTAGTTTAGCACTAGGATTGGTATTTTGTTGGCCAACTCAATCAATGAATGCCAGTCAGGGAAAGTGTCTGTTTCTGCTACTTTGCAACCATATTCTAGGTAGTTATCCCTGAATTTGGTGCAGCCGCCCCGGGGTTGTCCAAGGTAAGCGCGGCCGAAGCCCTGCATCTGTACACCCCCGAGGAAGTGACCCCTAGGTTAGGCAAGCTTCGGCATTACAGGCCAATGCCCTCCAAGTATTTAGAGCAAGTAGAAATTAAACGGAGAAATTTGTAAAGTGGATGCTTTTCCATGCAGAGTAAAGGTAGATAGCCGCAGCTTGGAATCGATTGTTGCAGCACTGTCGTCAGTCCACGGTCCTGTGAAGGAGCAAGCCGGAATATGGTCAACATCTAATTCTTTTGTCAGAGACTTGAAATAGGTAATATGCTGAAGCAGCAAGGTGTAATAATTCACCCTATGATTCTCTCCCTTTACCCATGATGACTAGCCGGGGTGTGCGCCCAAAGGCTTGGAGACACTGTGGTTTCTCGCATGTGCCCTCGCTCACTATGACCTTTTATGCATCCAACCAAAAGTCTTCATCGAAAAATAAAATTTTCTACCCCTCCGCTCTAAAAGTGGTTATTAATCAGTGTGATGCACTGCACAGCCACAGCAACATGTGCGCAGCTGTTAATTTCAGGTCAACGATCATATAAATCCCCACAACGCCGCACTATGTCGTCTATTGAGCCTTTGGTTACAGTTACCCGGTGGGTGGGCTTCGTAAGCGGGGTCCTGACGATAATTTTATGGTGTTTCCAACTGTCCTCAACGTCGGCCTCGATCTCAATCGGAAGCGACCCACTGGCAGATGTCAACAAGGCGACCTGGCGCATGCAACTATTCTCCTTCGTGCCATCTGTCTTTATTGACGTGTGGACCCCCTTCGTCATGGGCGCAATGACTCTGATGTCACACTTTGCCTCATTCCACCTGGACTACCTTACAGTCAACTTTGCGCACTACTTTATTTGGTCTATGTTGATGGCCTTATTTGGCAATATTGGCTATGCTGGTGTAGTAGGGATTGTTGTGGCCTCGGTAACTCTGCTCGCAGCCCTCCTTAGCCTGATCTGCGTCGTCATGTACAAAGGCACCGCCAGTCTGAAGCTTGGAAGCTAATGTTCAAGCTTTCACACAATTCCTTTAAGCTGCACAATTAACTGCAAACGTGACTTATGCATACTCAAATTCCGGTATCCCATGGTTCTGAAGCAAAGTTGCGCGCTGTAATTTCCTCGCGGCCTTTGAATCCACTTTTTTTCCTTTTTGCACCAAACTGCTGGCCACCCATGAAATGACCTTTCAATGTCAACCAAGCCCAGCAGACGACGTATCAGATGTTTTAGTCTGTGCTTTCATTTGTGTGCTGAGCTCTGTGGAGAGCCGTCAGAAAGCAGCTTCTGCGCCTGGATGCTAGTGAACGAAGTTCACATACAGTCTAGACACCAGCAAAAGCATCAGAGCCAGCTCTTAAGTTAACACGCTAGTTGGAAAACAGTGTTCTCCTGTTGTTTGGGGCTCCTTCTGTGTACTAAACAAGTATAACCTAGCCTCTTTAAAGTTGGCGCGTCATACCGCACACACTTCGTCCCCAACAGCCAACTTCAATAAAATAGCACAAACCGGCAATGGAAGCAATTCACATACTACCCACCATCAGAACTCTCCCAAAGCTACGCGCTATGTCATAGTTGAGCACAACAGCGCTTTTCGTTTTCTTGGTCATCTGTTGACTGCCATTCTCCTTTTACCATACAAGCTACTACGGAAGACGCAATGCTGGGAGAGAACGGCCTTAAGCTGTTAGCAATCTGGGGTACAACCAACGGCAAAATTTTATGAATTTAACAGGTCGACTTAGAGTTCTTGTTTCTGCAGAGCAATTGCGAGAGCGTCTATTTGCTTTGTGGTTTCCACGAATAGCTTGTATTCCTCTTGGACAGGTTCGATGTCTGCTTTCAGCCTCAAAGGCCTACCATGCTGCTCCTTGAATCGAATACGAAACTCTGCCAGTTTATCTCCCAAAACGCGACGCTCACGCTGAAGTTGGCGCAGCTGAGCAGTCATTTCCTCGCGTCGCTTCTGAAGTTGTTCCTGCCTCTCATAGGCAGATATCTTTGCACCTCGCTTCTCTGTAACACGACCAGGCGACCCAGGCGAGCCGCCATTTCGCTCCATCCGGCGGGCTGCCATGAGGCCTTGGCCCTCAGCAGACCGTACAGATCGGTTCTTCTTGAGCCGCTTGCTGCAACTTGTCGGCGACCTTACTTTGATGGAAGCAGTGCCATTCATAGTAAGAGGCCTGTCAGCCGTCATGCTCGAAAGGGTGATAGGGGCTGCGTCCGTTGGGATCTTCACCACATTATCAGTGCTCTGCCCCACCTCCGCAGCGACTAGTTGCTCTATCGTTTGCTTGATTAGGTGATAGTACATATATACGGGCCTGAGAGCTTCCTTGTCTTGTTTCAGTGGCTGGCGTCCAAAGTGGGAAGCAAATGCAACATTGTATGCTTTCAGCTCTTCCTTCAGCTTCTTCTTCGTCAACTGCAGCTTTTGCACATCGCCATCACCCCGAAAATAGCAAATAGACGAAAAGTCAGGTAGTCCGGCTTCGAACGAGGGGGATTCGGTGCTGGGGCCCCCAGTATATGGTGCGACGTCCCATGGTTCCGCACGCAACCGCTCCTGGCAGCCCAACAGCCACTGAGCAGCAAACGCAGTGACCGGATCTTCTGCGCTGTTGCTGCTGTTGCAGCGAACCACAGCAACTGAAGCAGCAGCAGCGGCATTCGCTGACAGGCTGCCCCTCTCGAATCCGCATGAGGTTTTCTGAAAATACGCATAGAGCAACAAAGATACTATTGATGATGACAAACAAGGAGTTTGGCATACATGAGCCAAAGTTCGACGACCTTTTCTGAGGAAGTGGGTCTCGTTGCTTCAGGGTTTACCATGGCTATTAGACGACCTGAGGTCAAGGCCGTGGGGTTCTCTGTATGCTGTCGTTGCGGCTCTAGTGGTTTTTGTTCTGGCTTGGCTTGTCCATCCATCTCTTTGCGACATGATTGGTGCTTTTTGCTATTGACCAGTGCCCCAGAAGAACTTCTTACTACAGGAGCCCTTCTGGACTGAAGACCTCCTGGTGTTCCCTTCATAGCGCCGCTGTTGCTACTATCAAGACCTGAAAGCTCCTCTCTAGAACACACAATTGCCTGACGCTTCTGAGGAGGGCCCTCTGAGCGGACGCTTTGCCTCACACTAGTAGAATTCTTGGCCATTGGGGCGCTGGCTGAGACCTCCGCAGTGGCCCCTTTGCCCTCTCGTGAGGTGCCAAGAAATGCTCCCTGCGGAGCCGTGCGCCGTTTCATGGTTTTTGCCACAAGTGGAGCAGCTTTACATTGCCTTGTACGTCGAATAACATTGGATGGAAGCCGATGTTTATCCTGCTTCTGCTGGCCTCCAGCGCTGGGTGGCCCCGCAGCAGCACCAGAGTCAACTGGCGCCGTTGGTGTAATGCATCTTGCCTGGATCTGCTTAGCAGTTGAAAGGGGCAGAAGAGGCTTCTCACACTCCTGTACAATAAAGGCTTCTCTAGATGAATCATCGAGGTTCTCAACTGACATTGAAGTGGGTGGGGACACGGCAACACTTGCCTGACCCTGCTGACATGCAGAGGCCTCCGTATCAATCGTGGAGCTATGGCAAGCATCCTTGGATGTCTGAGCGGCAGCAGTGGACGCACTGCAGCAGCCCCGAGAATACTCTGAGTATGCTACGGGCAATGACTTTTCTTGTGTAGTATTGTTGGAGCGAGAGTAGCTCCCCCGAGAACTGCGGAAGGTAGTTCCACCGCTGCATGAGCTTGGAGTGAGGGCAGCATCTCCTGCTGCGCTTAGGCTCCTCCAGTCTTGGTCGCCAGCTGCCTCCTCAAGCAGTAGATGCATCGGAATCGGTGCAGCTTCTGCCTTCTTAATAGATCCCAGCAGTAGCAGCTGATCCAAAAAATGAAGACCCGGTTCCCCTACATCTTTCACCTGTGTGGTCAGCAGGGCCTCATGGGGACTTGAAGAGAAGCACCAACTCTTGACTGAGTTCTTGAGCCCGAGTGCAACTTGCAACTGCTCAGCCATTTCAGAACCCCAAGAGGTAAAATGTGGAGAGGGCAGATTACGGATGAGACTCTCCTATTTATAGATTTGTTTGACGACATGACTGCACGGAGCCATCCTTCTGTGCCTTGATGAAACCACAAAATACCCGCTGATTGGCTACGGGGTAACAGAAGCCCGCAAAGATGGTTTTTCTGGTTTTTCTTTGGGCCCTACAGCACATTGATGTCTTTCACACACAAAAAGGCATTAATTTGTCGCCTATGGTGTGCTGTTTTTGAGGCAGTTCCCTACAGGTAGGGTGGTGTTGTGGATGGTGGTTGGGGCTAATAATGCCGCAGTCACGGCATTGTGTCCTTTTAATGCATAATATCCATACAGACCTCTCTGGGTGAACGTCTGTCAGTGTTTGACTCATGGGGAGAGGAAATGCTCGATTAGATTGTGATATTCAACCGACGCGCATGAGAACGACAGCGGCTTGCTGGACCATAGCCTCCGCATCTGTGGCTTCCTAGGTTCCCTCCCCTTAGCATCACGGGTTACGATAACTACGGTTAGTTAAACAACAATTCCATTCTACTTATGGCATCATGTCAGCTATTCATATTGACAAATAATGATTACTCCAAGGGGAGCCCTTCCAGCATTCGCCAATTGGCTGGTGACAGTATAGGGGAGAGGTGCATGCAAAGATAGCGATAGCATAGAACTCACACAAGCGGTAGAAGGTACTACCGGTCTGAAGGAAATCGGCCTTTTTCCACCCTTTGAAACCTCAGGTCAGCATTGTATTCACCGAAAGTCTGTTACTCATCTAGCCACCCAGGCCCTAGAATTGTTTGTCATAATGAGGAACCGTACGCGAAATAGGGACTCCTGTGCGTATATCAGCTCTCTAAAGGAAACCTTAACGATTCAGATCGGCAGTCCCTCTTTCTCTTAAGTGAACTCTCGACTGTGAAAAGCATTCGAAGTTGAGACCATTTGTAGCGCGCTAGGGTGGACGTAGGCACTTTTTATTCGTTACGCTACTTAGTGAAGACCCAACTTGGGATTTACCAATTAAGTTGTTCATCGCTTATGCTACTGCAGAGCAGTGTTAGCTAGATGCAAGAATACGCAATTGTATGTGCTTGTTGTGCCAGATGCTACAGCCATGACAAGGCACAATTACTACGCATAGTCAGAGAGTGTAAGATCCAAAAGGAGTTGTAAGGCAGTGCATAAGCGTCCTTTCTGTGGCAGGGGCCTTCAATGTCCAGGGGACAGATTGCTTTTTGTTGGGTAGATCATCCAAGGGTCTAGCCTCCGATCAGTCCCGGAATTCAAAGTTCGGTGTGAATCGCCCTTGCCGATGCGTGAGGGCTACGCCATGCTGGCTTCAAATTTTTGGCTCTCCGGGCTCAATTCATGAAGCCGGAAAAACAAATCCCCGAAACAACTGTTTTCATGAAAAGCGGATGCTGACATGCCTTCACCTAAGCACACGACTTAGGATCTATAGGTTTTCCTGAACATTTCCATCAAAGACCAAGAGGCAGGCCATGTGGATACCAATGCAGCCGTCTCGTAGACTTGTAAAATTCATGATTCAATATCCATTTAGTTCAGCTGCGGCACTTGTGACAACAAACTGTATGTATGCTTCTCCATATTGCGAGTGCCACTGTGAAACTTATTCTTGAGCATGGTATCAGTGTGAACATGGATTTGTAAAGGAGCGACTGTGTGGCCAGTGCTCAGTAGGCTGTTAGTTCGCGTAATTATGAAGCGGTTCACCAATCTGGGGCATAGACAATGTCTGCTCCACAGTCATCTTGCTAAGGGGCTTGAAGGTATGCAGAAGGCAACCTTCCGTCCTCTTTCGGCACCAATGCCAGCTGCTCTTTTAAGTCGCTGGTCAATTCCTGCAAGTCCTTGGTTTTCACTCAGACGCCCGCCTGCCATTCAGTCTTTTTCTCATGTTGTGAAACCTTCCGATGCAAGTGCACGATTTCAACATAGAAGCCACTTTGAATGCTGACAGGACCCAATTCCGATTCCAAGAGGCATTTTACTGCCGTAGCTTGCCAATCCTTGCGCTCTGCCTACGGTCATTGAATCCGAGCATAGAGTCTGCCCAAACAAGTGAGCTGGTACAGTGAATTTCTGCGCCGATTCTCAGATAATAGATAAACTGCGCTTCCAGTCTCCATTAACGCTAACACGTTTTAGCCGATCGATTGAGGCTGTATCAATATACGATTGACCCGGTCGGTCTCCCATTGCAGTTCTATGCATTGTAGCCCCGCCTCACCGAGCCGCAGCCTGCGTTGGGTGCATCTCGTTTCCCTGATGCGCCTTCTTCGCTCTCCAAGCAGTCTGATTGCGGTGGACAAGCTTCCGTTGCTCGCTTTTCATGGCTTTTTGCATGATCGCGTAGCTCCGGTCTATATGACCCAATCTCCCACAACAGAAGCTGGTGTGTTGTTGGACGCTGTGTGGGGCAGCATAGCAGCGAAGGTGCTTTTGTGGCTTCCATTTCTTACTTACACAAGACTTCAGGCTAGAGCTGGTTGGCACAAACCGACATCTGTAGGCTCTAAATGCCGCTGGCCCTTCCGTCTCAGCCAAAGATGCAGTGGTTGCCCTTACTTGCCCCTGCAACCTCAGGCAGTTCATGACATGCGAAATCCCCACTAGTCGCTTGTTCGATCGCTGACTGATTGCCCCGTCCTGTGACCACCCAGCTTGCTATATTTCAAAGGACTTTGAAAACGATTCACATATAGAGCGTCTATTCGTCTGCGTTGTGATTTGAGGAACAAAGTTTCATAGTTCTTGGTATTCAGTGTATTGCTGGATCTCCCTGCTTCCGCTCTCTCAATTCTTCCGAGACTGCTATTGGGCTGATCTCTGCATGAACAATGAGTCAGGGCTTAGATGAAGGCTTCAACTGCAGTAATCCTTGCAGGTAGACGACTCCGTCCATTTGAATAGTTCTTATCTCAACCTAACCACACTTTGTAGGAATAGTATATAACCAACGAATCCTTTATTGACCAAATGGGTTGTCCATAAACACCCCTTAATTATTGAATAGCGGCCTTAGCTTGCTAACGATGTATTCGTGTGTGCCTGTGTGCAATAGGCTGTGTGCAACTGGCTGTGGATGCTCGGAGTCGGTGGACAGTGCAGCAACGCGCACCCTAGGTGTCGCTCTCCCTTATTTCCAGAATTCTGAAGGGCATGAGCAAGAAATAGAATGGCTTTGTAAACAATACTAAATACCTCCTTACTAGATTTATATTAAGTGTGGACTGACGTGCGTTCTAACGGAGACCTTAGATGAAACGCTTCAGGTGGTAGCACCGCATGGTTCTATTTCGCTGTTCTCCGCTCATCCATCGCCTGTGGATGCATCCGAACATCAGGTTATTGTGAAAATTCTGGCTGCTCTAGAACAAGTGAATCGTTTTTAAAAGCATTTTGGTTTCTTGGACTAATTTTTAAAGTCATTCTCTCTTGATGGAAGCCGAGGGTAGGGCAACACCAGTTGGTGATGCAGGGGCCGGACAGCAAGCTGATATGAGCGAGCAGCTCCACAACCCATAGAGTGGCACGACTTTTGACTCCTGAAAAATTTATGGTTGCCTTAATACGGGTAAACCGAGCAGAAAGTATGACTGCCTGAATGATGGGGGAGTACGTTTCATCAGCCTGTTGGAGATAAACCTTGCTGTATACCCCACAGATAAAGAGAGGCGAGTGCTGTGTGTGAGATATCTACTGGAGGAAAACGCACCTCAGAAGAGGCCTGTTTCATGTAGGGAAACTTATCTATTTGCAGGAATAGTCACAGTTCTATCCTACAGACCAACCCTGATTGATCGGGTTGTGCCGAGATCAGCTGAACAGCAAGCTTTGAAATACTCGGTAAAGCTGAAGTACGAAAGCCCATCAATAAATCAGTGCCTCTACAGTATGAAGCGCTGTGTCGAATTGTCACAGTGTAGACGAACAGCTGCTCGACAAGTGTTTTCAAAGCCTACCTCGGAAGGTCACGTCAGGTGATCGCAGGATGGGCAGCAACTCAGCAAGTAATTAACCGATCCGTGGGTCTTCCACAAATTCTTTAGATTTGAAAAGCGGATGAGCCTTATTCGTGCGCTTTTGGCTAAGGAGGAGGCACCGGACTAGCATTTAGAACCTGTGGATGTGTGGGTATGTTAACAGGCCTCAGTCTGAAGTCTAATGTAAACAAGAAAAGAAACCCAAGGGAAACCTGAGCTGCTAGATAGCCACAGACAACGCACAGCCCAGCACATATATCGGCTTTGGGAGATCTAATCATATACTGCACAGACACATGAACGTGCAAAAAGTCAAAATGACAGTGGAAAACTGCAAGCAGTCTAATTGGCGAGGGAGGAAGGTGCACAAAGGGATACATAAAGCCATTCAATGCATGCAGCGAGGATATAGCATGCAAGTTCTTTCAACACCGCGGTGCTAACACTAAGGCTTGCGGATAGGTGGCAGAATGCAAGGACTACCAAGGCTACGGTAGTCACACCCCACTTCAAGGCAAAATCAGGTCACTTTAGCATGGTCACTGATTTCCATTTTGAAAGATATGCTAAGGGTGATCCTGGGGAAGGCAAACATGCAGCCACAGTTATGCACACTGCAGGTTCCTCTGCCGAGAAACGCTAGAAACAAGTAACTCCACCTCACATTATGTAATGCAGTTCCTCGATTTACGTAAGGTGAGTTGTGAAAAAACTACACCTCGACAAGCTAAGGCAAAGTCTTCCTGCAGGCGACTTAGCAGCGCTTCAAGAGAAGACGGTTGGTGGTTCTAACCATAAAAATTCGGCGTTGTGGCTCTACCAGCAGTGTTTGCATCAGTGTCGAATAAGTTTCCGGCTGAGGAACAACAAGAATAGTCATATAATAGGCATGAATTCGCGGATGTGCCAAATGATGAAGAGGTGACAGCAGGCTGGCCACCTACTGGCCCCCCAGCGCACCGTATT